TGCCTTTGTTCCGAGCGGTACCGTTATTTTCGCTAGTTGCGAACTTAGGAATGTTAAACGTTGCCAAATTTCGGAATAATTTCTACTCCTGAAATAATATTCCAAGAAAATTATTTTTTCTATAATTTCTGTCTGAAAATTGTGCTGCGGCCTATACACGCACGCGGCCTATACATGCGTAAATACGGTATTTAATTTAAATATTTAAAGGTCATGAAATATATTGTGTTTTTATGTTGTATTAAAATGTCCAACAGATACGTCATAGCTCAAGCAGTTAGTCACTGGCTTCCCACCGCGCCGGCCTGGGTTCAATCCCAGGTCTTGTCAAGTGGGTTTTGTGGTGGACAAAGTGGCACTGGGGCAGGTTTTCTCTGAGTACTTCGGTTTCACCTGCCAGTCTTCATTCCACCAAATTCTCCATCATAATCACCTGGGGCAGCCTACAATAGGCCAATCAGTGGCTGCCATACCGAGTGAACCCAATTGGACTCCACCCCCCACTAAGCGAAAAAAAAAATGTTTAGACAATGAATTAAAATTGTTGTTCATAATATTCATGGTACTTTTNTATTCCTGCTTGATTTTCCTTGTGGGGCAGCTGCACTGTTCAGAACCAGTTGTTGCTAGCATGGGAATTGCGTGAATTGTTTGTAGTATGACCTCACTGCATGCAGTGACATGCCAATGATTCCAGACTTACGTGACACTATTTATGACCTACACTGTCTTCAGATATTGACATACAACAATAATTCCTTCAAATGTGAAAAATTATAATAAACGTATGTCTCAAATTGATTAAATTGTATGCTTACTAATACATCAACCTCCTAGGCAGAAATAAATAGAAATTGAAACTTCATTACAGGTTGCATGGTGATCCAAAGAAGATGTATGATGTAGCATTATATGTAAAATTTACATCATCATTGCCATATTTTGACTTTGATACAGACATGGAAGAACTTGCTGTTGCTAAAGGCATGGCCCTAGAACCATGGAGCCAGGAATATTTCAGTATTGTCAGAGAGTAAGTCAGTCAGTTTACATTTGTTTTAACTTGTAAATAAACTTTACAGTTGCTCCATTTAATGAATTATGGTTACTGCAATATTAACATTACTCTTCCATGGTCATTGCACAGAGTTCTTATTTAGGACTGGCATGTGAGTCTTACATGACAGCACAACTGGCTGTCAGCATGATTAAAACGTTTTCTTTGTTCATGAAGCCAGGGGAGCTCAGTTAGCAAGTAGACTGCTCTGGGAAACCAAGGAATTGGGGTTTTATTTCCCTCACAGGTAAGACATTTTTCTCTTCTCCATAGTGTCCAGGCCTGCCATGGTGCTCACCCAGCCTCCTGTACAATGGGTATCCAGGGCTGTTTTCCCCACAGTAAAGTTGCAGGAGCATGATGCCAAACACTCAGCTCTGTCTCATTCCAAGCTAAGGATAGTGAACTGTACTACCATGCATCTTCATAACATGGTGCTTGTTGATTAAACATGGGGATAACTTTACTTTTTACCTTTATTCACACCTCTCAAATGACACATGTCACAGAGATAATGGCACCATTAGATTACATCTTTTAATTGCATTTTACAAGTAAATTACTATTTTGAAATCTCAACAAAATAGTTGTCCCTATTCTTAAAACACCATACCATAAATGTATATACAGGAATGGAGATAATGCTTCACCTAGATGTTCTGCCCTTGGTACTTACTCAAGAGAAAAATCCCTGCCCCTTCAGGGAACTCAGTGTCAGTCATATTCCCATGTGCACTAAGTGTAATGACTCACCTATCTAGGCTGATAAAAACATAAATTTTGTATGTACCTACATATCATGCAATTAAGATATACAGAGGACATAGAAATGATGAGATAAACATTCTTAACTTCAGTATTATTTCGAGGTGAGTTGTCAGCTTCTTTTACAATTAGGAAAGAGCTCCCAGTACATTCATTCATTCATTTATTTATAGTTCCAAAAAATCCATAGAGGCATCTGCCTCAGATATAGAACAAGTCAACAATACAATATAACATAAATATACATACATAATCAGATAGTCATCATCGTCAAAATTTAAATACTCAATACAACAAAACTACTGTACAGCAATACATTCCATATATCGAAATAACATATATCATCATCATTTATTTATAGTTCCAAAACATCCATAGAGGCATCTGCCTCAGATATAGAACAAGTCAATAATACAATATAACATATAAATATACATACATACTGTATAGAAAGGTTGGCTGGCTCCAAAGCAGTTTCAATATGATGGTGAAGAGTGTAATTCTTGCACCTGTGAGGAGTCAAACCCTAGCAGTCCTTCTGATATCCCATCATGTTACTCACCAAGCTATCCCAGCTTACCAAAGTGTTCAACAGATAGTGCTAATTTGTAAGAAATGTTGAGGTATGCAGTCAGAATTTTAATTAGCCTTGTATCCAGTTGCAATTTGTAAAGAGAGCTACGATGTAGGAAGCTTTAATTTAGACTGACACATTTTTTTGCCATAACCTGTGAAAAACACTATTCCTAGATGCAAAATAGCGGCAACATGGGTTTGAATGTGCATGATACATTAAATCTCTTTAATGTACTGCAAAAAACAGGAAATGGAATGGTAAGCTGTTCTGTGGAGAAGTTAATCTGTTACTGCAATGTTAATTTTTACTATCCAGCTTTCATCAGACTCACTACGAGCAACATGGATCTTTTGAAGGCCATGTAGTGATCAATGGTAACAAATATCCATTGTGCCTTGATGGAGCTAGGGACCACAGTTATGCACGCAAGCGTGACTGGAGTAATTTTCATCGTTACGTGATTCATTTTATTACTTTGGAAAATGGAGCAAGAATGACCATCACTGTTGTGTGCGTGCCAATGGTGTTCTCAAGGTATATATGGCACTTCATTACACGGTATTAAATGCTTTGAAAAAAAGTATATCACACTGAAGATACTTCTTATGCATACTGATAGTATTATTAATTACACTGCATATTTCAGCTGATAGAAGATTATATCAGATGAATTATTTTACAAGGACAGTGGTCAAACAGAGTTTACAGTATGATTATATCTTGAATAAAAATTATACTAAGACCAGTATCATTTTTTAACAAGGGAAGTTTCTTCTCAGCTGATTTCTAAGTATTGAACTTAAATAAAAGATTTTTTTTTCAAGTCAGAAATTTCCCAACTAAATAATTGATCAAAGCTATGTACATGAGTAAATAGGCTGTCCTGCTTTAGTGCTGAATATGTTAACACTGTCTGCTCTTGGACCCAACAATTGGCCACCTTAATTCAGTCAATGTTACTATTTTTAAAGGCCATTTCTGTATTCTCCTGTCTCTTTATTTTTCACAAGAGTCCTTATTGAAAATCTGGGCCATAATTTTATGTAGTTAGTTAGTTATTGGAGAGGGTGGGTTTCCCCATGCACTTAGACCAGTATTGGTCCATTGTGCTTCCCTCTATGATATTCTACCAGTCTCTATATCCTACCGATATTGGTGCGTACCATCAGTTCCGACCGAGCCAGCGAGTTCGGCCTCCACAAGCTTGGCAGTATCTATAATGCTTCCCTCATCTATCAGAGGTGTTAGAGAGACTACTTGTTGGGCGGGAAACGTCCTTGAATTTGGCTCAGTGACCTCCTTTGGAGATATGAGGTTCTTTTACGTGCCGTAAAGCTACGACACGGGACACACAGCTTAAAGTCCCTCCCGGAGGACTTGTTCCCTGAATTTTTCCGCCCTTAAAATTTCGACGACCTCCGCCGGGTTTGAATCCGCGTACCACGAGTCATGAGGTGGGAACGTTACCTCTAGACTACGGAGGCCACTTTAATAATTTTATGTACCTCTGAATATAGTGTCCTTCTGTGTCCTTGCAGTAGTCCTTCTTGAATTAAATCTGTATCTGGAGATTTGGTTTTGTCAGTAACAATCTCAACTCTTTCTTATGCTTTGTAATAGGTACTTTTGTTTGTTTAGTCCTACTCCTCAGATACCTTCAAAAATATTTTCTTCTGTTTTCTCCTCCACTTCATTCACTGTCTCTACTAAATTTTGTTAATGATACTGCTGTAGAAATAACAGTCTGATCAGTTCTCGTATTTAAATTGTACCAGCAAAATAATAAAACAGTTTTCTATGCAGAATGGCAATGGGATATATGTACAAGCCAGATGACACTCTGCTTCCAATACAGTGGTGTGACTTAAAGCTTCAATACCATGGTGAGAATGGAAAACCTCCTTCTGACTATAGTTTCTTCTTTCAAGCTGGTAAGTTTCTTTCTTGTGTACAGCCAGAAAATATTTTATAATATTAAATGAGATAGAAAGATGAATGTAAATGGTGAACAGAAAAAGATTTTGATGAAGGTATTCATATCCTACTTTAGAGACACTATCCAAAATTTTTGAATGAAGTGTTCAAACGAACTCACCATCAACTTTGGTCAATGTAGCTGCTAACCTGAAAGAAATTAGAGGCATCAAACTCTGTAATGTAAATCTAGAGTACTGTATTTCTACACTAATATGCTTCATATGTTGAAACTAAAGTTATAATTTTAATGACAGTTATTTGTGTTATCTGTATGTCTTCCATTAAATGGTTTATTTTAAGAAGTAGGTAATATTGTATTTGTGCATAAAGAACAAGTCTGTACCACAGTATAATTATATAAGGCTTCTTTTAGAATTCTTGCTATGTACCTTTATTTCTTAGAACTACTGAAGTAAATGTATGAAGAATTGAAATTCTAATTTTAGTCTTACTAGTATTATTGTTTTTCTGTCCACAGGTGGAGAAAAGTATCATGTTCAAGTTGATATTGCAGAGTCATTCGAATTCTTTATGGGATGGGAATGGGAAGCACGTATAGTTGAAAATTTGGCACACTTCACAGTTAATGGGGTGGCAGGCTGGGGAGCTGTTGAGTGGGAATATCGTCACCTAGGTGGACGTCCAGGTGAAGTTGCATCTAATGATCCACCCTTTACTCATCAGATTTGAGAAGGTTGACCCTGAAACTTGTGCAACAGATGGTAGTGTAAATTTTGGGGAATTATTTAATTGATTATTACTAAGGTATGCTGTGTGCATCATTACCATCTTTGTATGGATCAGATAAGTTATCCTGCAAAGGTACATGTTTCATCTGTGGGATTTCTTTTGAATTTCATAGTCAGTGTACTCGACGTTATGTATGAAAATCTTCATATAACAACAAGGAACTTTATTCTTGTTTTGCTTCTTGCATTTGTTTCCTAACAACTGAAAAACAGTGTTCAGAACATATATGATTACAATTTTTACTGCATTCCTTAAACACAGCATGAAACATAAATATTTTTAGAGAATAGGGAAAAGATTGATTATGATTATAGAACAAAAGATGTTTGAGGATCATATACATAAGAGAACATATAGTTACTGTGTGATTGGAATGGGCATGATTGTAGAAACTACTTATATTTCTGCTGAGTGTATGGTTTCAACTGTTTTTTTATTTATTTATTATTATTATTATTATTATTATTATTATTATTATTATTATTATTATTATTATTAATCATGAATACAGCAGGGCCACAAATAAATTCAACAGAAAAATTTCTGATGTTCATATAATGATTATATTCACACATTCTTCTCTTTGTATATATCTTACAGCAGTGCATCCCCAAACTTGAAACCTGACAGTGTTAGGTAAGAGGGTACTTGGTGGCTGGTGCTAAGATGCAGTTCTAATTTCATGCTTCTTCAAATATGGGAAGGGTGAGTGGAAGCCTTTTGCAGGCAAGAAATATGTTTCTTGCGCCATTGTTGGTAGGAAATGCATTGTAATAGAATCTTAAAATCATAATAAAGGAATAGTTTTGGAATAAAAGAGTAAAATGATTGTAAACATGAAGTAAGCACGCAGTAGCATAGTTGGTTGAGGCACTATGCTACAAGCTGGAAGGTCGCGGGTTCAAGTCCCAATGACGTCATTGGATTTTTTTCAATTGACCTAAACCTTCCAGCCGCACTATAGCCCTGGGGTCGACTCAGCCTCTAACAGAAATGAATACCAAGAATTAATTAATTTTCCTGGGGAGTAAAGCGCGGCCGGAACGTAAGGCTGACAACCTTACCGCCATCTTTGAGCCGATTGTCTAGATGATGTGGGACCCTCAACGTCTCACAACCCTATGGACCTTCACGGCCTGTTACAGGGATAGCTTTACTTTTTGTTTTAGACGTTTAATAACTATACCGACCGAGCGACCGCTGCTTGTCGGCGAAGTTTAGTGCCAACTTTTGCGGATGGAGGGTGTCGCGTGGTCAGCGCAACGGATACCCACGGCCGTTAATTTCGGTTTTCTAGACCGGAGCTGCTATTTCCTTGAAATAGCTCCTCAATTGTCATCACGAGGCTGAGTGGACCCCGTTCCGAGTAGATGTTTAATAAAAATGTCGATAAATGTGGCCATCTTCGTTATCACGTGACTTGTGTCGCGCTCAGCGTTATGAAGTTTTCAAATAGACCATTCTTCAAAATTGTTGTTCGTCACTATGACTTCGCGATAAGTTGTACTCGTATATAAGGGCAGTCTGATGCCGTTCACTGAAGCACAGACCTGTGTAGCTGGATTACGGCTCTTGGCGTACTGCGAGTATTTGCAGATGATGTGGAGGAACGAGAGGTTGTCGCTCCCGTGTTAAAGAACTGATTGGCTGACGAGTGGACTGCTACTGCTTTTGATACAGAAGTTAAGCCCCAAATATTGTTCTACTAATTTATAAGTACACAGATTATGCCATAATGTATAATGTGCAGACGTTAGTCAGCTTCACGTTGACAGTTACGTATTGTCAGTATGTTTCATCTGCAAATAAAAATGGCAGTACTGACAAGACACAAGAGGAGGCTGTTTTGAGTTATTTTTATAAACATAAAATTTCAAAATATTGAAAACGTTTATATCAATCTATGTTTAGTTAAAATTTTTGTTTTGGTAACCTTTCGTTTTGAAGAAGATAAATTAAGATATCGTTGAATGTCCCAGAAAAGAAGCCCGTTATATGGTGATATAAAAGGGGTGGGGAAGTATCCATTTCATATTTTAGTTATTCTTAGGTAATATATCATATTGCCGGTCACGGTAGCCGAGCGGTCTAAGGCATGTACTGTCTTCGCTCGCTTGGAAACCGGGATCGTGGGTTCGAATCCCACTCAGAGCATGGATGTTTAGTTTGTGTGTGTGCGTTTTTCTGTGTTTGTGTACAGGTAGAGGCCTTGCAACGAGCTGATGACCCGCCCAAGGAGTCCTACCGTATGTGTAAGATCTAGAAAAACCGAAGTGAACGGAGAAGTTCATGGAGGTAGGCCTAGGCACACTGGGGCTGTAGTGCCAAGGGAAAAAACATATATCATATTAAGGTCTTGTGGGCTATGAGAGAGTGTAGTCGGGTGGGTGGTTATAGGCGTTTCGTAGAACATAATACCTCAATCTTCATGGTACTTTAACTCTGAAAATGCAAGCAGCAATTCCCTACGAAACCACATACCAGGCTACAAGATGTTATAACCCAAAAGGCAGCATCTAATGAGGATGTTGAACAATCGAGCATTTGGAAGGAAGGTGCCATTGTGACATTTGCCAGAAAGCACTGATGAACATTCCGAAAAGTGTAATTGAAGCACTGTGACACCCGAATAAATGTCTGGACTGTTTAACCGGTACCAACTGCCCGGCGAACCTATCATAATATAAAATAACTCCAGAATTTTAAGAGACCTCACCTCGTTAGGGCGTTCAGCCGCCGGTCTAGAAACAAACCCGATAACTTTTTGAATTGTATTATACTCTTTACACAATACTATTCAGCGATCCTACTTTGCAATACTCCTGTAATCTTAATGACGTTGCTTAAGATATTCTCGGAATTGTACTTGTTTATGAACTTATAATTATAAGTCGATGCTTAGCGATTAATTATAATTAATCGCTAAGCATCGATTTGTATTGTCCACTCAACCTTTAGCCGAATATGGATCGATAGCTACTCGCACATTTTCGACTTCGTCTTCATTGCGTGTCTCCATGAACATAAAACATTCGAGATATTTCATGTCAGATTACTTGTTGCATCGATCCAGGGAACCTTGTAAAATCCTCTCCTTACGTACAAGCCCAAGGTTGGACTCCTGTTGAGTCAGCTGAGACAAGCGGATAACGTTCACTTTCTTGTGTAAGTATCATTTCGGTCCTGTAGCTTTTAACTGTTCAGTGTTTGTTTTCACACCATTTTCTTGAAGTAACGTAACTTTAAGTCGGTCACAGTGGCCACACGGTCTGAGGCATGAACTGTCTTCGCTCGCCCATACGCTGTGATCGTGAGTTCGAATCCCACTCAAGGCATGGATGTTTGTATTGTGTGCGTTTATTCTGTGTGTGTGTAGTTCTGTGTGCCGGTAGAGGCCTTGCGACGGGCTGATCCCCCGTCCAAGGAGTCCTATCGACTGTGTATAGAATCAAGAAACTGAAAAAAGGGCCAAGGCCCAACAAAAGAATGTAGAGCCATAGTAATAATAATGTATTTTTTAAGAAAGTGCAACAGAAGTACATTCTCATAGCCCAATGCAAATGTCGCAAAAACGGACATGCTTACTTATTGATGCGAACTTAAGTCGAATGTCGTACTGTGCGATAGCGGATGCTTTTTCCACTTGAGTCGAATATCACAGCACTAAAGTTACACACGCATGAAATGTTAGTAAACTGAGCTTATGAAGGTCAGAAATTGTAGGGGTTCTATCCATTCAGTTCTATTATTGAAATATTCAGTAAAATGAAACTGTGTTCACTGTCTTATAGTCGGTGTGGCAACCATGTGGAAGAGAGTCGTACACAATTGGCCCTTTGCGTTCCTCTCCTGTTAGAGAAGACACAGTGTTTTGTTTAAAGTTTTACGTATCTCCATTGAAATAGAAAATATGATAAAGAGTAACAATACTTGATCGTTACGTTGTGTTGCCTATGTTATCACGTTTTAGGGGTGTGACTATGAGCGGGGTATGGAATGGACACTGGAGTTACTGATCACTTATGTACGCCACTCGGAACTACAGTAATTACAGCGATGTCGCTCATTTCTTTCTTTTAGTAGCAAACTTGAAGCCCTAAAAAGACAACAAGAACGAGCAAACGAAAATACGGAAGTTAAAGAATAAGCCACGAATATAAGCAAAAGACAAATACTTCCAACTTAACCACTCCAATTTTGAAACTTCTGTTAGTTTCCTTCCTGGGATAAATTCGAGTACGTCCCGCTCTGTATGACGTCAAAATCTGGTGCCGGGAAGTGCGAAGAGTAGCCTATCTAAAAGTAACGCTTTTTATCTTTTTAGTAGAGAAATTTAATTTGTAAAAGTTGTGCCCATGTGCCTTCTCACTGCAGTATAATAGTTTTTCTGGAGGATTAGGCCACACATGTTTGCTGATCTGACCAAGATATTTCTTGCTCTAAAATACGATGGACCATTCTCATCATGAAAAAACTCGTCATTGGAAGCCACCCTGATCCAGGGCAGTGCAGTTCACATCTTCATAACATGTTTATACCTACCTACCTACCTACCAATTGACGCTACATTCCTGGGTGAGCCTTGGCCTCCTCTACAACCAGTCTCCACAACCAGTGCGTGCTGCCATAGGAATGAAGCCACGCATGATGACACGAGGATGGTTGTTAGGTTTCTGAACCAAATCATTTTTACAGGATGAGGTTGTAAGCCTCATGCCCAACCCCCAACCTGGAGGACCAGGGTATCTCGCTTAGCCTGGACTCTACCCTTTGACCATTCCGGCATGGGTGACCCTACCGGTAGTTTAATTACCGCCGGCATAGCTCTCCAGGTCACAGAGTCACGCAAGCCGCACCCCCACGACAAGGTGGAGACACCTTTGAGGGGATAATGTGTTTATAGCCCACATTATTTTCATATCTGGGTCTGCCAGATGACCCAATCTCAAAATAAGGACTGGTTGCTTAACGACTATGCTGCATAGGTTATAGTATATCGTCGAATGATACGGAAAGACGACTACGTAGGGTTATTATGTAAGATTTTTTTATGGAGCTGTCTGTAACCTATATCAAGCTATTGTCTCGTCATAATCCTGAAGGAAGCTCGAAATATGGGCAAACGGGCTAAGAGTAGAACCGGGTGTGTTCCAAATATGAATCTAAACCATTATGGCTACCTTAAAATGTTTCGTCGTTCATTTACTGAGGCAGTACCAGTTACACTGAAAGTTGAAGGCCGCGCCATAGCTCAAGCGGTAGTCGTTGGTTTCACCATCGCGGCGGCCCGGGTTCGATCCCGGGTCTGGTCAAGTGGGATTTGTGGTGGACAAAGTGGCGCTGGGGCAGGTTTTCTCCGAGTACTTCGGTTTCCCCTGCCAATCTTCATTCCACAAATTGCTCCACAATTCCCCTCACCTATCATCTTGGGCTGGTACAATAGGCCAGAAGTGGCCACAGTATGTATATGTATATATATATATATATATATATATATATATTCACTTGAGATTTTGAACTCGTAATTCCAAATTTTAACAAAATTCTGTGAACAGGCTTGGACAGACGTGCATACATACTGTACTCTACAACGTATTTAGAAACGAATTTTGGACCTATGTTCACTATAATTAAGTGTAATTAATGTCGTAAGTTCCCCTGTTTTTCTTGGCACACCCGGTATAGAAGAACGGTCAGTGCTCCCGCTACTGTATCGATCTTCTTTGTGATGACTTTCAGACGTCAACATGAATCCTACGTATAAGAATATCAAAGAGTAGCGTCGTGGAGGGAAGGTGCGTTGTACTCTTGGTATTGATATTTTAGTCACTGAAGCCTTGCTTTCAGTGAGGGCTTGTTCCGTTCGCGTGCAGTTTACTTGTGTGGCTAAGCTTCTCAGCACATAGCTGATTATGCGAATCTGGGTTCCTAATTCTTCAATGTTCTCTGTTTAACTTGGCTTCGGTGTTAGACATTAAGATTTTCATGAATTGCTCCGAGCCCCTTGCACGTAGGAACGAGTTGTATGAATGAACTCAATAGGAGGAAGTTGCAACTACCTGTCCGCATGCTATGCCGCTTAAACTACTTGATACATTTCTATTATTTTGATAACTGGAATCTTAAGAAATTATTTGACGGATGTGACTCACTCAGATTTCTGTTGATCCAAGAAGTTATAGCCCCTATTTAGATGTTGCTCGAACTGAGCTTCTCGATTTGCACAGAGATGATTCAGCTTAGGAAAATAAGTTTTTCTTTTCGATGATTCTTCAGGGCCCAGGCCTCTTATTCAGCTCCGTAAACATTTTTCACGCCGGTCACGGTAGCCGAGCGGTCTAAGGCATGCACTGTCTTCGCTCGCTCGGAAGCCGGGATCGTGGGTTCGAATCCCACTCAGGGCATGGATGTTTGTGTACGTTTCTCTGTGTTTGTCTACAGATAGAGGCCTTGCGACGAGCTGATCACTCGCCCAAGAAGTCCTACCGAATATGTAAGATCTAGTAAACCGAAGTGAAACGGAGAATTTCATGGAGGTAAGCCTAGGCCCAAATTCGGGCTGTAGCGCCACAGAAAAAAACATTTTTCACAGACGTTAGGACTCGTAGGACTCCTTAGACGTGTGATCAGCTCGTCGCAGGTCTTGTACCTAAACACAGGACAACACAAACACAGAATAAACTCATGCACACACTCAACATCCATGCCTTGTGTGGGATTGGAAACCGCGACACCAGCGTCCGAGCAAGCGAAGATAGTTTATGCCTTAGACCTCGCGGCTACTGTGACGGGCTAGGAAAATAAGTAAATATGTGAAAACAATATGTAATTCCCAGTAACATCTACTACTTATGTTTAAAACATTTTTGTTTAACGAAAATGAATGCATAGGGCCCCTTGCACCGCGACCTCCAATGATCTATTGCGCTTCCCATTCTGTTTAACTCTTTATCAGTCCTACACTTCGAATAAAATATAGGACCTTATTTATGGGGGCGTCATAGTAGTCACTTGGTTCCATAAAGACCTGGCCCAGGTGACGAAATCTTAACTGAGCTATGGCCTCACAATCGCATAGGATATGTGTGGCTGTTTCATCTTGTTCTAGGCAGCTTTCACAAGTTGGGTCATCTGTCAATCCCAGTTTGAAAATGTGTCCTTTTAGGTGACAGTGTCCTGTAAAGAGTCCTACCACCCATCGTAATTCATCTCTGTTTAATTTCAATTTTAAAGAAAAACAGCGAAACATAATTTTTTCATTCAGTGCAAAATTTTACAGGAATAAGTCTTTATCTCCATTTACTTAATAGGGGAATGAGGTATGCAGAAACACATTTGGAGAACTTGTATTTTCTACATTGGATGCACTTTCACTCTCCAGGTAGTGGGTCCAGTTCGTTTATAAAGCCGACATAAAGTTACTAGTACATGATAATGTTCTTGTGGTTGCTATTCTTTGATCTACAGGACTGATTCGGTCTGAAGTTATCGACTACGTTTCGCCTGCAGAGGTTATTAGCAGTCGGATTAGATTGAAAAATGATGATGAATAGTGATTAGTTAGGATTTCGAGAGAAGCGATCGTGGCATATTATATATAAGTGATATTCCTATATTCGACTGGAGAGATTGAAGGAATCCTCAACTAGGGTCGCCAGTAGTCTACCCTACTGAGATTCGAAACAATTAGATATTTAATACAACCTTAGTACTATGGCCCAGGGTAGGAGCAGGAGAAAAGTGTCTAGGTTATGTCACTTGCTATTAGTTCTCCAAACTCTAACCAGAATGAAAGGCTTCTTATCTTAGGTAAATTAGTTAACTCATATTTATCTAAGACAAATAGTACTAGAAGTTAATAAAATAATTAAAGTTTTCGATTGAATCGGTGACTGTCTGATGAAATGAATTATTCTATTCTTGCCGTACCTGCCTCTGAAATAAAATTTATTCTCGAACAGTTGGACAGAAGAGTAAACGATTACTTGAATGTATTACATATTAATACAAAATAATTGTAGTATCAATGAAAATTATAGAAATAGAGAAAATTCCGTTATTGTTTATTGTTTAACCAGCAATTTATCCTGTCCCTGGGTGTCCAACTGGCTCTCGTGGGAAGAACAACCAGCTGTCTGCTTGCAGATGGTGGTTGTGTGATCATCCTGTTGCTCATTAGCTGGCGGCTGGCCTCCACCTCGGCGGCTCTCAGCACCAACGCTGTACTCAGGCGGTAGCTCATGGGGTAACACCTCCAACTGAGTGGTTACCCTAGTGACTGCTCGAGAAATTCCGGATTCCAACAAGAAATGATCTTCCACCCTAGTACGGATCTTACTCCACGCACAATTGAAAAATTGAAAAATTACGCCGTAAATCCAATTGAAACCTTTGCCAGATACTCTTTCCTTTCTTCGCTATATTGGTTGCATGATTTCATATACCCTGCACATGTTGAAAAGTCACGTAGTCACATCCTGCTTACAGGTTTCAAAGCAACGTTTCTAAAAGAATTACTAATAGGTAAGATAGCTTTGAATCCTGCGTCTTTCTTGCCTTATTTGATGAAATTTATAATTAACAGTCCCTAATGATCAAAGCCCTTCCTGAGAAGCCGATAGTCGTATAGCAGGTCAGTAAATTCCTTCCCCTTCACAAAATCCGATGAATAATTGCAGAGCTCACAAGAACCCACCACTGCATCATAGTGGGCACCAGTTGAATGCAGTCTGTATCCTCAAATCCGATTTCTGGAAAATTAGTTTTAATATCATCCTTCCTTCTACGCCTTATCTTTTAAGAGTTCTCCAGTTTTTCAGGCTAAACTTTGTACGATTTCTCATTTCCCCGATGTCTGCTACAAGTCCCTCCACTTTCACTTTTAAAAGTACTCTTGCTCTTACTTCTAATTGCCGATCACAGTGGCCGTGCGGTCTAAGACATGAACTGTCTTCGCTCGCTTGGACGCTGGGATCCTAGGTTCGAATCCCACTCAAGACATGGATATCTGTGTACTTTAACTGTGTGTTTGTGTTGTTCTGTGTGTAGGTAGCGGCCTTGTGACAAGCTGATCCCCCATCCAAGGAGCCCTACCGACTGTGTATAGGATTAAGAAACTGAAAAAACAGCCAAGGTCCAACAAACGGCTGTAGAACGATAGATAGGTGGGTGGATGGATAGATGGATGGATTACTACTAATTTTTCTCTGACGCAAACTAGATATCGGTTGCCTTAGATTGGCCGGTAATGAAAATTGTCATGTGTTAAACCAGTAAGTTTGTCTTACACACTCTCACTATACTCCTCATTTCGAGGCTCAGTGTAATAGCATATGTGAATGTGAAGTGTTTTAGACGTTTAATTTTAGTAAAGTTCTCCTCAGTGGTCTTTCCTTAAAAATGAAAGCACAAACAACAAGCGTCATATTTTGCATAGACATTGTAGTTCCTTAGCTTTGAAGGTATTTTAATTATTTCAGTTCTGACCCGGAGAATACGAGTTTAACTTTACAATATATGACAATGAATTGCGAAAATATTGCGACCTTGCAGTTTCTTTCGGCTCTAAAAACTGCCACTGTCCCGTCCTCTTGCACCAGTACCAAAATATTAATAACAAAAATAACTCTGATTGTCTACAGGAAACCCATTTTTCTGCACTGCATTCTGGAGCCCTTGAGGATGGTTTGCAGAGGGAGTTCACGGTGCCATGTATAAGGGTACGATTCATTTCTTCTGCATCCCTTACAAATTTGCAACGCAACTCTCCTTAAATTTAAGTACGGCTTCTCTTATTTGTATTGCATACGCGCGATCAACTTCTTGATTCATTCATATCTGCTGCCTTGCGGTATCAACAAATCGCTTAGCAGCTCACGCGACTGCTGAGTTTGGTTTTGGATGCTCTCCGTGTGCTGGCACTTCCCACCACCTGCAGTGCTGCTCCAATTCCGTGCCAATATTTGAAATTTCACTGCTTAAATTGCAGAGTGCTCCGGTTTGTAGGCCTCAATGCAGAATATTCGGTATTTCAGCGCCGTAGAACAAACCCGGATGAGTTTCCTGCATGTCACTGGATAAGTCGCCGAGATATCCTCGAGAGCTGATCAAGTGATTCGATTCTGGGACATATCGATGCTTCACAGTGTTGGAATTTTCTTTATAAATAGAGATAGATCCATTGGCTCATGCTTTTCGAACAGGAGGAAGGAACTGAGGTATATTTAAGAATTCTGATAGGTCAAAAGTATGTTCCACACAGAGATATTGGGTTTTCGGACTTTATCCATCGTCCTGGTTTTTAAGATAACCAAGAAAAACACGGCGTTTCGGAAACTGGATCTGTTTCCATCCTCAGGTGAGGGAAAACACCTATTCTGTTGGGTCCCTTAGAAAGAGCTAGCCTCAATCACTGGACCCAAACCAGGACGATGGATATAGTCCGAAAACCCAATATCTCTGTGTGTTATACACCATCGTCAGAATCCTATAGTAACCAACAGTGCGCTGTTTAGGGCAATTCCATTGGCTGTGACGTCTGAGGTCAAGTGAACTCTAGGTTTGCTAGAATAATTGCTTCGGGAGCATGAAGCAGATTATAATGGTGACATCTCTCTGGACTTTTAGTCTGGATAATCCGGTTAGAATATTGACTGCTCTGCTAGCTGGTCTGTCTGCAGGACTACCGGGGCTGCCCGCAAATAGGCCAAAGTTATTTCCTTATAGGGGGCACGAGATAGCGTAGTTGGTTGAGGCACTATGCTACAAACCGGAAGGTCGTGGATTCGAGTCCCGATGAGATGGATTTTTTCAATTGACCTGGTCCATCCAGCCGCACTATGGCCCTGGGGTCGACTCAGCCTCTAGCAGAAATAAGTACCAGAAATCTCCCTGGGGTGTAAAGAGCCACCGGAATGTAAGACTGATAGCCTTACCGCCATCTGTGAGCCGGTTTCTAGATAATGTGGGACCCTCAGCGCCTCACAACCGTGTGGGCCTTCACGGCCTGGTACAGGGATAGCTTCCTATTCCCTTATACATCGTTACGTTCACCATTCATGTTCGTATTCTGGACTTGTTCAATGCTATGCAACCTCTGCAGTTTATATATTTTGTTACACAACGAAATAGTGAATTGCGCCTTCATATTAATTAGGCCTTTATCATCATGGCATTGCGCGTCCTCGGGTTGTGAGTGGAGGAGGCGGCCTCCAGATACGAAAGGTACCTGCGAACATGCTCAAAACGAAGCAGCGGTTGGGGGGAAAAGTGACCTAGTTGTGGGGGCTGAGGTGGACGATAACCACTAATCGCCGTAAAAAAAATAACTGGTTATTTGCAAAACTACCGAGGGCTCCGTGTTTGAACGGGTTATTTGGAACAGCCTGGACAACGGAGAAGAGCATACTTGATTAAACTGGCTCAGGATAGGGTCCAGCTGCGGACTGTCCGGAACACAGTAATAAAGACTCCAATTACAAGAAAGGCGTGGAATTCCTCGACAAACTGAGCTCTGCACAAGACTCTGACATTTAAGAATCTTAGGTGATAATCCAAGATTGGACAAACCTGGAAAATCCAAAAGAGAACTTTCCTTTTAACTATAGAGGCTCGCCTTATTTAAAACTTGAGGATTCCTGATCTCATATGCGCACACAAAATAAACATAAATGATTTGGGGTGCTGCAGAAAGTGAACAGATATAGGCCTGTTTCTCTAATATCGTGAGTAAGAACTCAATGCTTATACTGCTACAGAAATCTTTGGAAATAATACGGCCTCTCTTATTCTGGATGTTGAATTCAGTCTTTTTTTCTAGCTGCCTAGAATAAAGTCGTAATCGCATTCCCCTCTTCAAAATTTACATTCTTAGAGTGAACTCCATTTTTCACTTGGCGTAATGTATACCTTACGAACGCCTGGGTCGCTCTTGATTCTCTCATATAGAGACATTCATTAATAACACGTTCCAGCTATTGTGGTTCTTTCGTCAATTACGTTTATACAAATGAAGAACTCAGGGATTGGATTAAGTGGGTTTAGGAATGGGAGATGGAAGAGCTAGAAGTCATGTGGTCATGTGTTGCTCCAGATCAGCCATGTGTTCTTATGCATGCATTTCCTGACTATTGTAAGGTATTTTCAGCTACAGTTCCCCTGCCTTTATCTAACTTCAGAAGTAGGCCGCTCCGTAGCTGAAGCGGTTAGTAGCTGGCTTCCCACCGCGGCGGCCCGGGTTCGATCCCGGGTCTGGTCAAGTGGGATTTCTGGTGGACAAAGTGGCGCTGGGGCAGGGTTTCTCCGAGTACCTCGGTTTCCCCTGCCAATCTTCATTCCACCAATTGCTCCACAATCACCCTCACCTATTATCTGGGGCTGGTACAATAGGCCAGAAGTGGCCGCAGTAAAACGGACTTAGTCCCACCCCACTAGCAAGAAAAAAACTTCAGAAGTGAACTATTATTCATGACTCTCTACATCTGAAATTTAATTGAACAGGAATCGATGTGTGTAGCAGTTTTAACCGGTGGTGGGGGTGAAGGTGGGGAAGGGATCATGTTCTTTTAATATTAATCCCATTCCTACCCATCGGCGGAAATCAATTTTGATAGCGCACCTGTGTGGCATGCAGCTGGACTTGCCCACTTTGCCGGTAGACCCACATTGATGACGTACCTGTGTTACAGGACTTGGTGGTAGTTGTGGAGAGACTCGCAAATCAATGGGAGGTAACACGATGGACGAAGAGGATCGAGATCCCAACAACCTAAATCAGCATCTGCAGGTACCTTGAATACCTTTTTGTGACGATATCGACCTCATTATACCAATGGCATTTTCAAACTTCTTTGAAATGATTTCTTAAATTTACACACTACTGCAAAGAAAGTGAGCCGGGATAGCGTAGTCGGTGGGTCATATTCTCAACGTTTTCGGGATTATGGGTATTTTAAATGCAGCTTGACATGAAGGATTTTATTTTGGGAGGAAAATGTTGGGAAAATATTAAATGACTGCATTGTAAAGTTTATGTGATTTAGAGTAACTGTTCAAAACGTTCCCTACCAGCTTGTGTGTTCAACCCGGTTCGTTTCAATTGTGAAGATGTAAGCTTATGAAAGGGCCGCGCCATACCCCAAGCGGTTAGTCGCTGGCTTCCCACAGCGGCGGCTCGGGTTCTAGCCCGAATCTGGTCAAGTGGGATTTGTGGTGAACGAAGTGTGGCGCTGGGGCAGTTTTTCTCCGAGTACTTCGGTTTCCCCTGCCAATCTTCGTTCCACCAAATTCTCCATCATCATAATCACCCGGGGCAGGTACAATAAGCCAATCAGTGGCCGACGTGCCGAGTGGAGCCAGCTGGACTCCATGCGAAGCTTACGAAGAACTGCAACGTTATCAACGTGCCTTACGGCAACAAGAACTAGCTGCTGTGTCCTCCTCGCTTAGCCGCTCATTGTTTTCATGTCAGATAATGCAAATTCTGTGTTGTGCTTCTTCAGGTGCAGTGGGACGACGTTATTGGGGAGCCAGAAGGAATTCGTAGTGTGGCCTGTGGCTGGCGTCTCAGTGGGTGGTGCTTTCGGAGTTCGAGGAACTGTTGCTACGTATTCCTCTCCGTGTTACTAGCTCCTGTAACAGGCTTGTGCCTTGGGTGTACCTTCGCCTGTCTTGCCTTTCAGGTAACAAGACATGCTTGAATTGTTTGGAAATCGGTTAATACTTTATTGCATGCTATAACAGTGATGTACAGAATGGTAACTTCGTGTTACTCGTTGCTTCTTACACATTCACCTGCCTAGCAACAATGGTAACACAAATTTGTATGTAGCCTCCCAACAGTATCGCCATTTGTTAGTGATAGTCAGCAGAAAGTTATGTCGGATAGCTACAGGAAGTGCGGCCTAGAAGTCAACCTAAGAAATAACAAATTAAATTACGTTAGATCATAACGCAAAGCACACTTTTTTATTATATAGCAACAGCTGATGCCGCATCCTTGCTTTTCTTTTCACCTCTGATTTCCCTTTAATTATCCTTTCGTCACATTTCCCTCCCTTATTTCTCGATTTTGGCCGATCACTGTGGCCGCGCGATCTAAGGCATGAACTGTCTTCGCCCGCTCAAACACTAGGATCGTGGGTTCGAATCCCACTTGAGGCATAAATATTTCTGTATGTTTATTCTGTGTCTGTGATGTCACGTGTGCAGGTAGCGGCCTTCCGACGGGCTGATCCCCCGTCCAAGGAATCCTACCGACTTTGTAAAAGATCAAGAAACTGAAAAAGCGGCCAAGACCCAACAGAAGTGATATAGAGCCATAGATTGATAGATTTCTTATTTTATTTCCCTGTTTTCTTTTTACTTTGTTCATTTTCCCTGTACTCCCTCCTGTGATTTACTTATCCAGTTGCCTCTTTTTTTTTTTCTTTCTTTCCTCTACTCCCTTTTTTTATATACAAAATTAGTTAGGTTAGAATGTCAGTATTAGAATTATAGATGTGTGATTGAACATTGGGACCCAAAGGGTAACATTTGTCCGGGTTTTGTCTCATTGTAGCACAGAAACGTAAGCTCAAATACGGAATGACCACGATGCTAGAGATAATTGCGGTGTCGGTTGCTTGAGGTGTCAAGAAAATTCAATGAAACTGATACGCTCAAGTTTAATTACTTTGTTATTGATAAACGTATAAGTTCTTTCCTCTAACCAAGAAACATTTCTAATTGATGCATCCATTGTACTGTAAAGCCGTTAATGCCCAATTAAATGCTGGACTTGAATTATAGCCGTAATGTTCGAGCGTTGAAAAATCTCCCCAGAGACTAATCATAGTGCCGCTATGGTGTATAATAAGAAAGTACGAACACTTGGTGCATTTTGATATTCAGAACTATACGGAGGTGACTGTTTATCGTCACGTTCCGACCGCTTTTCCCCTGACGGAGGAGTCACTGGTGTCTGTCGAATAACAGGTGCGTGGGCCCCAAGTTCCACCTCTTCCGCCAATTCAGTGTCATTTCCAGCCGTGGTCAGCATAAGCCAATGCTCCGCCCGGGGAAATCTGCCAGATTTACGCATGTGCAGGCAAAATAACGAGCATGACGGAGCGTCTTAAAATTATGTTGACCCGTGCTCATCGTCTTTGGTATATTTAAATTATACGACGTTTCGGAAGCTGGATTTGCTTCTGTCATCAGATGTAAAGTGGAAGATGATCCTGTTCATATGGGAGTTTAAGAGAGAGTCAGCCTCAATCACTCTCGGGCCCAGTTGAGTAGGATCCTATCACCTTTTACACCTGATGACGGAAGCAGATCCAGCTTCTAAGACGCCGTATAATTCAAATATCGCTAAGAGTATGGTCAATGGCCAACAAGTAATGAGAGGCCATTGTCACAATCCTTTAGAAGAACAAGAAGAAGGATGTATGGCCGACATTTGTAAACAGCAAGACTTTCTGCATTAACACAGGCGTTTTACAGACTCTGTGAACCTATATATCAACGACTATTCAAGATATCTGTTATGAGGAAAGTTTTTACGATTGCTAGTGGCTTTGACGTTGACCACAGTGACCGCGTGGTCTGAAGCATGAAATATCTTCGCCCGCTCGAACGCTGAGATCGTGGGTTCGAATCCCATTCAGGGCATTGATATTTGTCTGCATTTATTTTGTGTTTGTATTGTTCTGTGTAGGTAACGACCTTGCTTAGGCTTATTCGCCGTCCCAGGAATCTTACCGACTGTCTAAGATTAAGACATTGAAGAGAAACGAAGTGTTTCACGGATGTCCTATGCTCCAATTTGGAGCATGAGGAATAGATGGATGGAATGACTTTAACCCCCCCTCCAACCCTACCTCTTAGTCCAACTTTGTCTTGTGCATATCACGCAAAATTCCCTTGCTCGGTCTACCCCGCCGCATACTCGAGTATTCCAGGTAGATGCAATCCCACTGATTTTTTTTTTTTTTTTTTTTTTA